CAATCTCAACATTTCAACATGGTGAAACCCCTCTTTACTAAAATTACAAAAATTAGCTGGGCATGGTGGTACACGCCTGTAATCCCAGCTATTCAGGAGGCTAAGGCAGGAGAATTGCTTGAACCCAGGAGGCAGAGATTGCGGTGAGCCGAGATCATGACATTGCACTCCAGCCTGGGTAACAAGAGCAAAACCCATCTCAAAAGAAGGAAAATATATATATATATATTTCAATGCTTTAGCTCAGCAAATCTTCTCACTCTAAGGTATAAAACCCAGTGCAGGTGTTTTTTGCAAGATCTGTACATGTATCCCAGAACTTAAAGTATAATTTTTTTAAAAAAAGAATTTCAGTAGAAAATAAAGAATCTAGGCATTTTAGCAAATGAATGAGAAAGAGCAACATACCAATTCAATTCACTTATTTTGGCCTCAAATGTTTCTGTGGTGCAGATGTCATGTTAATTAGAATTAACTCCAGTAAGAGGTAAAGGAAGATTAACTAAGTTTCGTTTATGCAGTTTTTCTAATTGTCACCTCCCATGGTCTTTTTAAATATTATATTCAAAGCTATTATAATTTTCTAAATTGCATTTTAATAAATTTTGAAGACTGTGACTGTAATTAAAAAGGATATACCTGCTAAATAATGAACTAATAAAACATCATATAAGAAAGAATCTATCATATAGTCTTCTGACTGCACTCATTTATCAAGCCATGAATTTAAAATAAAAATATATGGTTTCAAGACTTTCATAAGTATTTATGACTTAAGATTAGTAGGACTGGTAAATGTCATTTCAAAGAGTGGGCATCGCCAATTTTGTGTGGGTCTGCAGCATCCTCAATTATTGCCTTCTTAGAAGAAAGAATTCAACTGAGGGGCATAAAGCAGAGAGACTGAGGCAAGTTTTAGAACAGGAGTGAAAGTTTATTAAAAAGTTTAGAGCAGGAACAAAAGGAAGGAAAGAACATTTGAAAAAGGGCCAAGTGGGCAACTTGCCAGATCAAGAGTACTGTTTGACCTTTGGGACACAAAACCCCACTTAGGGTTTTATGCATTGGCATACTTCCAGAGTGCTGTGTCCCTTCTACCCTGATTCTTCTCTTGGGGTGGCCTGCCAGCACTTGGGAGGGACCACATGTTCAGTGTTTACAGAACACTTGAGGTGTTCTTCCCTTACCAGCCAAGTGTTCCTAGAAGAAGGCCAGATAGCAGTTAAACTCCACCATGTTGCGTTAGTGCACATGCTTGAGCCCACCTACCTAATTCCTGAGATCTCATCAGGAAGCTGCTGATCACCAATTTCAGGTGTTTCTGTCTACTGGGAGACTGCTTTTCCTGGTGCCGGCTGTGACCAATTATTATTTTAGAGGGACATTTTAGCAACCGCCTGCCCATCACCTGATGGTTCCTGACATGCCCGGTGGGGAAGGCCCTCTCCTGCCCTGCTCATGTCTGACTAACTACCCACTGTGACAAAAATAAGGAAAATGTGTAGGAAATAAAAGTGTACCAAAGAAAAAAGGCATAACTCAATAATTGTTAGACATTATCCTGAAGTTCTAAAGACCAGCCCTAAAATGCCTCAGAGCTAAAGCCCCTCTAAAATCCAATCCTTAGCAAAAATTCCCAACTTTTTATACCTAGAAATGTTTCTTAAGAATTAAGATGTATTTCTTAATACATCTCCAAATTTATAATCAAAGAAATACCAACAACTGTGTACAGATATGCCCTAAACAAGAGACATGAATGAAATCCATTTGAAGGGGCTACACTGTCTGTGGTATATACCCTGGGGTTCACTGTCACGCACGGAGAAAGAATTGAGGACACAGACACATATGGGTGGGTTAAGGAGCAGAAAATTTAATAGAAGAAAGGAGAGAGGAGAGCAGCCCCTTGTGAGAGACAGAGAGACACACGGAAAAAGGGGAAGGCAGAGGACCGCAGCAGATTTTATAGGTTGGAGAAGGCAGTGTCTGATTTACATAGGGCTCACAGATTGCTTCAATCAGGTATGACATCTATATCAGGCACCAGGGAAGGCTGGTTGACTTACCCTAATCTTCTTATGCAAATGGGCTTTCCAGTTGATTGGCATCACCATCTTGTCTGCTCCTTTACAGTACATGTGGCTAGGAGAGAAGGGACCACCATCTCGACCATCTCTAGTCCTTACTTCCTGCCCACATTCACCTGTGCAAGCTCCCAGTGTGCAGGCTGCTCTGTTAGGAAATTATTTGGGGCTGTTTTTAATTCAAAATAAAAGCCTTACTGAGGACTCCCATACCCTTAGTATCTGCCTAATTGCGTCTTAGCTCCTATATCACATTCAGTGCATTGGAAGTAGAAATAGAATAATCTTAACACTTCTCTCTTGACACTCTTTAAGATGTCCTTTTATTGACAAAATCAATTTTTAAAAATTTATATTCGCATCTCTGCATTTTAAATATGTTGTTTATCTGTGGTGGGGTTTTTGTGGAGAAAGCAGGCAGGGGAATAAAACGGAAGAACTAGGTCTCTTTAACAGTTAGACCCACAAGAACTAAGGTCTCAAATCTAACACAAGTGCTGGCCCATCGACCGAAAACTCCCACCCATCTTAGTTCTGGTGTCAGCCTGTCCAAGGCAAGGCAAGATCTACACGTGGGCCAAGAAAAGAGAATGGTTTATAAATTGCCACAATCAATGATGGAGAAAAACAAGATCATCTAAAACGAATGACACCCTCTCAAGATAATTCACTTTGTTAATTTTACTAGCTAATAAGTCTCCATTACATCTTTATATGAGGAAGACAAACCAGCCTCATCTGTATGACATAATCAATCAATTATAAAAGTCACTATGTGAGCTTTGGAGCACTGATTTACCCTGAAAGATCTCCAACCCCAGGCCTTGCCTTCACCTGAAATCATAAAATAGATATATAAGTGAGATTTCAGATGTGCTAAACACAATGTAGTTTGAGAGACGGGTCTCTCAGGAGCTCAGAGAAGCCACAATTTGCAGCTCTGAAGCACAATTTGCTTGATTTTCAGATGTGGCTGCAGCCTCTTAGTTACTCCCATGCAGAGCGCTTGTCTGAACTCTAGGGAATAATGAATTCAGTTAAGCCAATTGCTCTTGTCTCTAGTGTCAATCAAATCCCAGGCCATGCTAATGGGATCCATCTCATTCAACACATGTTCTTAGGCTACTCACACAGTGCTATTGCCCACATCACCCTGGAAGCTGTTTCAAGTTAGGGGAGCTTCCAAAGTATTTGAAGGAGACGAATAGGTTACCTCCAACTCTTGACTTTCTTATTTAGTCTAATGTCTTGTAAGAAAGATACTTTGTGAAATCATTCTACTAGTAAAAGTATATATCACCAAAATTAGCAGGCCTACCCACAGCAGCTTCACAGATGAAATAGAATGCACTTTACACAACTATAGTCAATAGGAGTTGTTCTATTAATGTTCTAAGGCTGTGTCCACCAAAGTCCTGCATTTGTATTCCTGTTCTCTCAGGGATTGTTTGGTTGAGTTGTTCTTTCTTTCTAACACTGTCACTAGATCCAGCAGGCACTGTGAAGCATGTATTACACATACTACACATATTACACATAGTAATATCTTCTGTATGTGGGATATGTGACTCAAAAGTAACAGCAAGTCAGATTACAACCTCTTAGGGAAAATCAACAGCAAATACAAGCTCACAGGTTGTGTGTACAGTTGACTTGTACATGGCTTTGGATGCAAACTGACGCAATACCTCTCCGTATTACAGTCATCTTCAGAGGGCGGACAGCATTCTTAGGGGCCTGAATTGCTAGGTAACTAAAACGTATGTATGTAGAATAAAATAATCTTGGGAAAAAAGATGTTTTCATAAGCCTTCTCTCTAAAATAAGGTCACCTTCTTTGAGGTAGAGACTCTGTGCCTTGTGGAAGGAAAGTCACTTTACAAAGCAGCACAAGAATAGCCAGTTATGGAAAGGGCCATTATAAAATTACTAGCCAATGGTATTCACTGCTCTTAAAATTTGTCAATCCATTCATCCCTAGGAAAAAGAAAGCATGAAAGAGAGTTCTGTTCACAGGTAGAAGCAATTTATGGGAAGGCTTTGGAAATGTAGAACTACTGTTTGTGATGTAAGAAAAAGAGGGGCTGCAAGAGCGGAGCACCATGAGGGGCCCCTGGAATGACAGCACAAAGCAAGTTAGATTCAAAAAGGGGAGTCGGCGTTTGTTTAAAGGGTTTATCCTAATAAACCCAGCTTTGAAGGCAGCCTGGGTCATTCCTGGAAAAGGCCATTCTTTGTCTCCAGTGACCCCAGAGACACCATAGTAGGGGGGTGGTGATGAGGCAGCAGCCGGGACCAGGTCCCAGTCGCGGTGGACAGGACAGAACGGACTGCATGGGGCAGCGGGCTGGGGAGCCACCAGGCACCCGCAAAGCCCAGGGATGCGGCCCCTCCCCTCCGCCCCGGCTGCTCGCTGCGCCCCATCCGGGCCGCGCGGGCTCCGGCTCCCACGCCAGGGCTGCCTCTCCCGGATTTCAGCCCCGTGGGAGGCAGTGCCCAGAGCCTCTGTTTCCTCATCTCACAGAATCCTAAAAGCCGAGCCCCTACAACCAGCAGACAAAACTGCTCTACAAGCTTCGGCTCCTTCCTGCTTTCCGGGCGTTTCTCCAGGAATAACTTACACTTAGTGGCACGGGGAGGAAGGTGGGGACTGGGGGCTCGGGGGTCCCCCAGCATGGAGCACCCACGTTCCAGTGTCGTGTTGGAGTGGCGAGGGTTGCTCGCTGCTTTGTGCCCAGCCCGCCCCACCAGGCCCTGTCCTCGGCGCGCCGAGACGCTGGCGGGCCTGGGCGGCGGGGTGGGCGTCTCTGGGTCTGTGGCTCCGTCCCGCCCGCCCCCGCCCCTTCCTCCCGGCCCGCGCCGGCGCTGTGCGGCCTTTTCCCCAGCGCGCGGCGCTGCGCTCGCTTTTATCCCGGAGCCGCGTCGCTTCGTGCGCTGCCAGCCGGGCTCAGCCAGTCGGCTGGAATTGAGTAGCGTTCATTGAATCTGCGGATTTCATGACGTCTCCCTGCGTGGTCCATCACTTTTCTCCTAACCGGGGATTTTATTTTTCTCTTGCCTTTCCCCGCTTCCTTCCACCCAGTCTCCCTCCCCCGTCCCTGCCCAGACGCGCGCCCCTCCGCCCCTCCTTTGGCCCCGGCGCCCAGCCCTGCTCTCCGCGCTCGGCCGGAGGGAGCCAGTCCGGAGACGGCCGCACCTGGCTGGAGAGGCTGGGCGGGCGGAGGGGTGGAGACCCGCGGGCGCCGGGAAGCCGGACCGGGAGCCGAAGCCGCGGCGAGCAGAATGGAGTCTCCTAACAGCCTCTCCGGGCTGATGTGAAATTTGCCCATCTGATTCCAGTTTTTTTTTTTTTCTTTTTCCTTTTCTTTTTTACATTTCCTTCCCTCGCCATCCGTCGTGTAGCGAATTGTTCAGTCTTGCTCCGTTTCAAGAGAGGAGATCATGATTGAGTGAAGCCACCCCGTCCGCAGCCAGGTAAGCGGTGCGCTGAGATGCTCGCGGGCGAGGAGCCGGCGTCCACCTGGCGAGGCGTTCCGCGCCCTCGGGTCCCCGGGTCCCCTTCCCCAGCTCCGTCGTCGCCGCAGGCATCTCCACTCTCCTGAGAAACATTGTGCCCAAGTCAGCGGAAAGGCGAGGGAGAAGCCGGTTACATAACCGAAGGGGAATCTGTTTCATATGGTTTTCATTAGCGACTGAAACTCGCACGGGGGGCGGGGGGAGGAGGGGTCTGCATCCCTGGGCTCGCAGAGACCCAGTCAGTTATTGCAGACATCATTTCAACATCCGCTGGCAAAGGCGAAATGCGCTGATTAACTGGCAGGGGCGGCATGTGGTGTAGTCATTTACAGTTCGGAAAAGCCCATTGTCTTTGTGGAAGGCTGTCTCCCTGTTCTGCTTTGCATGGAGAGGAGAGAGACAACAGGAGAGGGAGGAAAAGTGAGGGTGGGGAGAAACATGCGGAGAATGGGAAACAGGATACTGTAACTCCTAACTGTTCTCTATCCGTAAAACCGAAGATGTGATATGATGACTGAAAACAGTGAATAGGAAGATCTCCCTAGGAGTAAACTGAATTATTTTGTAACTGGAAGGTGGGGGGAAACGCTTTAGATAAAACGAGATGTGTGTGCCATTTAGAGGACTGGGTGACTGTGGATATTTGCTTCCCTGTGGATATACTTTCATTTTCATCAAGACATTACTCTTGGATTCGTTTTTTAAGTGTAATAACATCAGTATTCCCAAAACCCAATAAAAGCCCGGTGGATCCACAGGTACATCTGTTGTACTAGGTGCAATATAGAGAGATTCTCAGGGGAAAACATATCTTAATAGAAACAACCACAGAGATAGGATGAGGTTAGTGGAGAAACAAAATACCAGAATTTTCCAAAGAATTCCGCCTCCACCCCCCAAAAAAAGGAAGGGGGGAAAAAACCCCACAACTCCAGTGTTTGGGAGTTGGAGATGTATTATGCGTTTAGAGCGTTTCCCAACTGCTGACATCCAAAGTCTTCCGATCTCCGGGAGCCCCACAGTACAGGGGGCAATGCCACATCCCCGCCAGCCCCGTTCCCTGCCTGCCTTTCTTTTGCTGAAAAAAGCGAAAAATGGTGATGCCCAGGAACTGCTTAGGGAGGGAAAAGGGCTTGCTACAGTCAGGGCTGAGCTAACTGAGCTTCGCCCATTTTGCCTGGGGAAAGAAAAAGAGCTCGAGTCTCCATGGCGACCCAGGTGGGAGGGGAGACGGCAGCTCCAGTTACAGGGGAAAAAAAATTGGACAAAACTTTCCCGGCTCCAGGCAAAGGAATAAGCCAGCCGCGTGCCCTGTGGCGGGTCCCAGGGCATTGGCTGTGCCCAACTCCCTGACGGCGACGCTCAAGAGGGCGCCCAGAGCTGACCGGGTGCCCCTCAAACCTCCCGAAAGTTGCCGAGGTGGGGGTGGGGGTAGCGCCGAGGTGGTGGTTACCGAGCGGGTTCCGGATTCAGCACCAAGGCCAGAGCCCAGGCGCCGAGGGTGCAGCCTCCTCCCAGTTCTGCAGCCCCAGCGACCGGCACTGACTCCTTTGGTCATTGGAGGTCAATCACTTTCTATAAAGAAAAGATTCCTTGGCTCGGGCAGAATCTGGATATCAAATTATCCACGGAATTAGGTGAAGCAAAGAAGCTTGCAAATCATCCATTTTATGCATGGCGGTGCATCAGAGGAACTATTCAGAATCAAGAACACGGGGACAGGGAAAGACCTGAGCTGAACTGAGAGTGGAGACAGGATTCCGTCCTTAGGGGGAAGAAAAAGGACGCGTGCGGGCACAGACACACACGCACACACGCCCATCAGCCCCTGAGGAGGGTTGCTAGTTTCAGCTGAGTCCCTTTGGCTTACAAAAGCATGCCTCCTTTGCCCTCTCACGCTTCTCTCTTTAACTTTTTGTTGGGCATAGATGGCAGAAGGGAGCTGTGGCAGCACCCTAGTCAGTGAGAAACCAGCCAACCAAGTTCTTTCCTAGGGTCCTGGGACTCAAGAGGGTAGAGAAATAGTTTCCTCTCAGTCTAGACCTGGCAGGATTCAAAGCAACACTGGTGAGCTCCTGGAAAGGAGAGAGTGTGTGTTAGCAAGATGAGAGCCGGTGATCACATCTTCAAGCCTGCGTGTGAGCAAGGTGGCTACATTTCCTAGGTTGCAGGCACAGGAAACCAAGAGGAGTCATTTCTCTTAATACAAACAAGGAAGAAACTGCAGGAGGGAAGGATTTATTTCCATTCAAGTTCCATTTCAACATTCATACAGGGAAAACAGGTAAGTCCATCCAGCTCTTTTGCTCTTACTTTACCAGAAGCTGGTCTTTGCCCTGCTCTAATCCTTAGTAGTAGGTCCCCCACTACCACCACCATCACTGATATGAAGAGGAAAATTAGTACAGGAAGGTGGCAGTCACGTTTGCAATAGAACGCCTGTAAGAGTGCCGTCCAGGTGTTACAAGGTACGGTTTGAATTGCAGAGACCAGTCAAAGGTTTAACAACTGGCTGGAAATGTTGATAAAGCTTTGACAATATCCCTGGCTGCTTTCCTGTTTCATGGATATACTTGTGCGTGAGGTCTTGAGCTGGTTCTGGTTTGTTATTTTTAGTGGTAAACAAAATATGATCCTGGCTTTCTTTTCTGGGCTTTCCAAGTGTGACATGTTGTTGTTTCTAAAGATATCGCATGCTGAGCACTCAGGATGTGGTTAAAGCAGTGTGTTTATACCTTCCAGTCTTTTCAAATGATTGTTAGTGAAGGAAGAGCAATCTATTTCAAACCTAAGCCAAAGGATGAGTTATTGCACTATTTCTTACGTTTCAGTTCCTGATAGGTATTGATGAGTTTATCCATAATTTAGTTCATGAAAGGGTTGCTACCTAAAGTAGACAGAAGAAGTGATGCCTGGTGTTTTAAACAAAGCAGCTGTTCCCTGGGCTTTGTTCCATCTGATATTATCAGCAGAAGGGAAGTAGACATTCGTTATGAAGATAAAGCTATACAAGAATATAGACTGTTAGATAAACAAAGTAATGTATTTCTGAGTTCTAAAGTTCAATTTCTCTTATAAATTAAAAAAGGGGGTGGTGTCAATAATCTGGGTATATGAAATTGCTCAGTCAATAATTTAGTTCTGGTAGATTCCATGCTCACATATTCAGTGCATATTCACCAAACTATGACTTGCTTTCTTCCTAGGTGGCTAATTGATGAACAAAGTGTCACTATGCCCTTAGCAGTCAATAGGATACTCCAAAGTAATTGGTTTACTCATTTCAAGTAAGATTTGCTAAGGAGAACAACTTGTGAAAATTCATCCCCATTCACTTGGTTCCATTTTGCTATTTTAAAAAAAATCATTTTGATACCTCATCTAGGTATTGCCTAAACGATAGTTACCTCATCTCAGTGTTGGTATATACCAACAACATTGGTATATGGTGTTTTCCTTTGTGTGACCCAGGTCTTTATTTAATACATAGAACTTACATGGACTGTTTCCTTTAAGAATATAAAAAAGCTTTTAATTCAGTCTCATATTCATCCCTATCCTCAGTCTACCTTTAGTTTATAGGGAAAAAATTAGAATAGTTACTTAAGAAACAATAGAAAAAATTCATTGGAGATTAAAAATAAAATACCCTTATGGAATCTTAATATCATTCGCTGATTTTCACTGGTAGAAAATGTTTCTGTCCACAGGGGTTTAACGTTGACCAAGTAAACCTTCATGAGAACAAAACAAATCCTCTTTATGTAAAGACAGGCAGATAAAGTGAAGCTCTTCTCTTTTTCACCAATTCTTCCTTTATCAAATGATACATAAGTAATATGGAAATGGAAATGGACCAGAGATAGGTAGAGGAAGGAAGAAAGTGAAGGGAAAAGGCAGTTACTTATTGCTACCAACTTTAAAGCAATAATACTTTTCAAGGTAAGGTTGGTTTTTCTAAGTCCGTTGCCTTAGAGCTTTAAGTTTGGTGCAATTATGATGTTTAAATTCAGTGAATTTGGATTTATAGCTTCTTGAGATGGCATTTATTGTTTCTTTACTTTATCTTCAATAATTGACATGTAAGTACCAAAAGAGAATTGATTCACTCTGTAGTTTTACAAAATTATTAAATCTGGTAATACCAGTAAGGGGGGAATTGGCAGTTAAGTGGAAAAATCATTAAAACACTTTTGTTGAATTAGAGTTTTCTTGTTAATTGTAGTGAAAGTGTTTGGGGAGATAGAAAAATAAAATATAGCTGTTTAGGATAAAAATACATTTTAAGATGCATTTAAGTAATTATTTCTAGAAATAATTAGGATCCAATAAAAAGAAGAGATAATCGCAATAGCAGTGAGTGCTCTAATGGTATTCTGAATTTCCTCTGGCTAAGTACTAGAATCTACATATACTTGCTATTATTTTAATAGCATTAAATAATCGTAAAATTATTTTTGTCAGATAAGGAGCAGTCTCATCATGAAAAGAATAGTCTCTATCCTCAGTAAACTGTAGCTTTGATCTAACCATACCTCCTAATCAATTGTAAATATTCATTTATTTATTTGTTGCTAAATTGAATCCTTGTTTAAACAAAACCTCAGAGAATGATTTTGTGCAGTGTGCAATGTTCGAATAGCCATTCAGATCTGTGTTTTATCTGGAATGCATTAAGGCCATCAATCAACTTTCCTAGTTATAATATGTAAAGTTAACCCTAAATTTTGACCAAGTGACTATTTAATTTATGACTATATAAATGTATCCATGTCAGATGAAACCCATAATCTCCTTCAGTCTCGTGTTTCTTATTTTTTTCTGTATAGCTGTGGTAGGACTAGGAATCATACAGTACTGGTGATTCTTTTAGTGAATAGAATTTGGCTAACATGCATCACCGTTCTTATTCGCAGTCACAGAGATGCAGTTTCCAATATGAAAACCTTATAAAAGGA